TTAAACATGACCAGTACCTCATAAATGAGGCAGTGGCTCTGTGGCTAAGGATCTGCACCTTTGGTTGGAAGGATGCCAGTTTGTATCCCTACTCCGTTGGGCCCCTGAGGCAGGCCCTTAACCCCAACTGCCCCAGGGGTGCTGTATAAATGGCTGAACCTGTGCTCTGGCCCCAAGCTTCGCTCCCTGTCTGCGTGTCTCATGGAGAGCAAGTTGGGGTATGCTAAAAGACAAATTCTTAATACAAGAAATTGTATATGGCCAATAAACTGATCTTATCTTATAAAGGTAACTATTAACAGCTGGCATTTGAAAAAAATAGAAAAAATAGTGCTGGTAAATAGTATCAAAAGCATGTAATAAAGAATGATGCCCATGACAACCTTGCTTTCTTATTTACCTTAGGACTTAGCTTTAGGATGGCTGCAGTAGCTCAATGTGGAAGCCATCTGAAACAGAGACTGTGTCTGAGAGCACTGAGAGAGCACTAAGGACATTCAGCCACGGTTTACTTTCCACCTGACACACCTGCATTGTTTGTCAATCTGTCCTTTTACAGTAACTGCCTTGAAAAACAGCCCAGTGCCGCAATATTTCAGCACTTAAAATATGATACAGTCTCAATAAATATCTTTGAACTAGAGGGTTTGCATCTCATATGGACACTAGAAAAATTAGACATGTCAGAGCTCACCAACAGTTAATGGATTGCGACAAGGAAGAACAACTGTTAGATTATTTTTTGACACAGGTGCAAAGAACGAACCATGTTATATCCTGTACAAAATGAATTCTAAGCTAATTTTGGAAATAACTATTTTTCAGAATGGGAAAACTTGCATTTAAAATGGTTTATTTAATGATGTTGGTCCGAAAAATCTTCTGAGGTTTTATGTAGATTACAGTTAGGATTAGTTATTATCATTGTAAAGGAATTCAAAAGCTGCACTTCATATATGAAGCTGGGGTAATATTTGTTATTTTGTTATATCAAGATTGTATATTTGTCACTCTGCTCTGGGCTGTTCTGTCTTGGTCCTGGTGGGTTGGTGTGTCTACAGGTTTTCATTTCAACTCAGTTCATAAAGAGCTGAATAAGAACTTTTTTAACTGCTTTTCAGGTGTTGTTGCTTTGAAGAAATGTAGAAAACTGCAGATACACTGCAGACACACTCCTGGACCAGGATAGGATAGCCCTGACATAGCATTGGTAACACTATTTCTGCTAAATCTTCTGTATGTACAAATTGAACTGTACAGTAGGATCAATCAAGCACTAGAGAGATACCTCACAGGACACAGTCAAAAAGCTCGTCCGCAAATGAAAGCACAGAGAAAGCTTCTATACAATTAGTAAAAACTTTGTGAAAGAAACTGGTGATATGTTCTCAGAGACATATGCGATGCAGTTACATCTCATGTAAAATACAACTGAAGTAAACGTATCTCTGAATGACCTGCATCCTTCCTATGTGATTTCATTATGTTTGAATTAGAAAGCACTCATCGGATTGTTCAACTGCAGCACAATCTGTCTATTTTAATAAGCAGTGCTGTTCACTCCACATTGCAGAGGGCTGAAGTCCACCAGCTTTTGTTGGAAACTTAATAATGATCAATGAGCACAGACCAGGGGTGGCATGGTGGCTTAGTGGTTAGCATTACTGCCCTATATGGTGTTTGCATGTTCTCCCTGTGTTTGTGTGGGTTTCCTCTAACACATACTGGGGGGGTCAATTGGCTTCAGGGAAAACAGGCCCTGGTGTGAGTGTTCGTGTCTGGACCTGTGTATAGTATGTACAGTATGTAGCCTGTGAAGGACTGGTGTCCTGTCCAGGGTGTACCCTGCCTTGCACCCGTTGCTTGCTGGAACAGGCACCCGCTCTCTCGCGACCCTGAATAGGATAACATACTGTAGTTAGCGATGGATGGAGCACAGACCAAGACACAGTGGTAATAGAGACCAATCAAGTGACCAACTGCGTCCATTCAAGTCATTTATAGTCCAGACTGGACTGAAAACCAGAAGACATGGTGACCCTCCAGGACACAGAGTGAGTACACTCTGATTGATTGATTGATTGATGAAGTGCAGGGTCCTCTGGAATGGCACACCATAGTCATACCCCCTCCTGTACGAATTCCTTGTACAGCAGATGGCCAGAGACGTGATCTAATGCTCATCTTTTGTGAAGATTCTGAATATCTTCAGCTTCAAAGCGCAAAGAGCTCAACAGTGCACACTGTCCTCTTGGGTCCCTCACACAGGTCTTCAGGTAGGTCGACCGGTTCCCTGTAGGTTAAGATAATGCCCTGATGCACACAGGGTTTCAGATAACAAGATAATTTAATTGTGACAGGAAGCCAAATGCAAGAGGAGTGATTCTTTAAAAAGAAATGCTGTTATGTATTGTACGCAGAAGCTGCCTTGTTTTGCTTGAAGAACTACCAGTATAACGGTTAAAACCTCAATGCATTGCATCTGTCCAAACGAATTACTGCCTGTAAGACATTATAACATCTTTTCTTTTCCGCCCCGCAGCCCTGACAGAATCACAAGGCAGCTGGTGTTAAGTCAGTGTGTGCAAAATGCTGTCTGTAGCTCAGACAAGCTGTTCGCCACAGGGAGAGTACAGGAATCATTTAACACTCCTGTGGCCAAGACTGCTCCAGTACTATAGAACTAGTATCCCAAGAGAACAGAACACATCCACATCTTCTTTTTCAGAGAACAGGGGAACAGAAGAACTGAGTGATACACCCTGCCTATTGACAGTCATTGGAAATACTGGTAGACTAGTGTGCCAATTATATGAGGGTCTCTCGTGTCACCAGAAAATTATTCCACCAGACGTACTCACGAACGTAAACCTCTGTCACGTGCGTCTTTACAAAGCAAGGACTTCGGAGAAAAATAAAAGGGCAACTTAAATGAGTTGTTGATGTTTAAAGAGTTTGTATGTTCCGAACACGCTTCGAAATCCGCTGCAGAATCTCAAATAAAATTAAAGCGCACAAGTTTGTTTTACTTGTTTTAGCATCATTGCACTGGGAGTCTGTCGAGTTGAGAATAAAATTAAGAATGCTTTTGCTCACCGTTAATTATACGACTGCTTGCCCTCTGTACTGTACACCTAATCTACCTGTTGGACGGTGCTTTTCTGTCTCTTAGTACACTGGAATAGGCATGTTGGCTTTCTTTTCTTTTGATTTTCTTAATGTTCTCTTTTATTCTATAGTTTTTAACTGTTTCATTTACTTCATTCATTTGTGTGGACCTCAGTTTTTTGTTGATGTATTTTAAAATACCGTAAGCCGATGTAGCATGTCAACTCAAGAAAAAGCTGCAGTAGACGACAGGAAAAACAATGGAATTTGAGTTTTATTTTATTTACTACATCAGAGTCATTTACCTTGGAGTTAGACTAAGCTTCATTTTTATTCTGCACGAGTATACATTACTCGTATGTTGTGATTTAATGCATATGGCACAATTACACACGCGTCTCGGCGGTTAACTTCAGTAATTCCAAAAAATAACTCGGGTGGCTCTTCATTGCGCCCCAAGGTGGAGCTGTTACGCCGGCAGCCGGTGGTTATCTTCTGAAAATTCATGCTGCTGCGTATTTTGCTGTTGTGGGCAGCAAGTGAGCCAATATTATGGGTTTTGAAAATAAGAGTACCATGACGGAAACTCGGCGTCTTTTCGATGGACGGCGTGACCTGATTTTGGTGATCCTGGTTGCCTTGTTCTGCCTTGGAGAGACCTATGTCATCCTAAATTCAGTTTCCTGGGCTATCACCAGCGAAGTGGACGAGGAATTGGAAATCTCTTCCAGCGAAGACGCAGCTCCAGCTCTTTTGGAGGATACTGGCAGTATATGGAAGCAGCAGTCCTACCCGGCCTCTATTTACAAAGATCATTTGGACAGGCGAAGAGGGCAAAGGACTGCAGATGCCAAACAGGTTTCATCCCCGTCCAGGATGTTTTCGTACCGGAGGGAAGGGCTGAACGCGGCCGTCGCCCCGCCGCCTCCCCCGCACGAGCGGACGGCCAGGACAGCCCGGTACCTGGCGCACTACAGTGACTGGGGGTTCCTGGCGACACTTTGCACACAGGAGAAGGTGAATCACATGTCGTACGATTTTACGGGGTTCAGTCATACCAACCTGCAATGCAGGCTTTAGAGAGAAGGCAAGGGGGGGGGGCAGGAATTAAATTGTACGATTCCAAGATGCCCATAACAGTTCTTGTATCATCACGTAATGCTTTACAGCTGTTACTAAAAGTATGTTTTTACATTAAGTTTAAATTATTGGTTAACAATAGTCATATTAAAGAAGTCAGAGGTAATTGGTAAAATAAGGCTCACTGTGTCCAAGGGTCTGAATTTGTAGGGAAGATGTAAATTTGGGACCTCGCCCAAATTGTAAGGGACATTTAATAAATGATCTCGCAGGATTTCATGGCAATTCATTAGCCATACTCATTTTACTACCATGTACGCAAGCATATTGATTTCAGAGTGTCGTTACCTCACAGTCAACAAGTTAACAAGGTGACCCACAATATTTACGCACAGACACGTCGTGGTGAACATTTCCTCGCTCCCACACCAGTCGGGGCTCTTGAACACGCCTCCTGGATGAATCTCTGGGGTTTAAGTGCTTCTGGGTCGTGTTATGGCTTCTCTTGTGTTCGTCAGATTCAGGGTCGGCCTTTTGGGAGTGTTTTCTCTGTGAGCGACGGTCCCCTGGGCAACAGTACAGGAACACCCTACTTCTGTGTCTCTGCCCTGCACAGCAGCGTGGAGGACCTCAAAGTCAACCCCGTGGCCTCTCTGACTTTTCCCGCGCCAGAAGGAGACTACTGTAGGTAGGGCCGTTGGATTGAGGGACGGTTTAGCTGGACTGCGTGGGGATTTTTTTCCCCACAGTGAAAGAGCACTTCAGCCCTGACGTTGTTGTCACGCCAGCTGTCTGATGCCAGTCACCTCGAGACACATTTTGATGGGTTAGGAGCCTTACCTTTCCCATCAAAAAGCTGCCTTGAAGGGCTGTAATATCTCTGTGCCATCCTTCCCACAGGGAACTTGTAAAAAACGGTGCAGCTCCTTGGGCAGTGTGAATGTCCACAATATGGACAGTGATGTGTAAAAGAGCTGGATCCACTCAGCTAGCCAACCACTGCATAGTCCAGCTCAGCAACCCCTCTCAGCCCGTGCTGCACTCCGGTAAGGCTCTGTGCAGCCAGATCTAGTGAGGCTGTAACAGTAGACAATAACAATGTGAAATAACCCTGACTCCTAGTCTCAAAACTTGGTTACAGCCAAGTCCATGGCCGTCCAGGCCAGGCTCAGACAGTGAGGGAATGCCAGGATGCTACAGCTGGCTGACTTGCTGCGCTGTGTTGTCAAAATTACTGTATTGATCCTTTAGCATCTGAGTAGGAGGTGCTGGAAATCAAAGTACTTTTTTTTAGTGGTTTGGTCTGCTGTCAGTTAAAGCAGCAGACCCTTGTTTAAAAAAAAAAAGTTTTTTCTGGAATTTCAGACACGAGCTGGGCCTTTGAAAAAACAGACACGTGTGGAGAAGTGTCCCTCAGCCCCTGCGCTGATGATGTGGCTTCTCCTTTCCCCCAGGGAACACCTGATGGACCCGGAGGAGCCCAGGTGTGCCCAGTTAACGCTGACTGGCAGGATGCTGGCAGTGGAAGAGCCAGAGGGGGAGCTTGCAAGGGAAGCCATGTTCTCCAGGTGAGTGGGGGCTTCAGTACGGTCGCAGGCACGTGGAGAAGGTGGCTGGGGTTCTGTGTGGTGTACATGGTGATACACTGCCTTCAGAAAGTATCAACCCCCCTCACCAGAATACTTGTAAGTACACTTGTGTTATTGTTGGAGGTGCTGTATTTTATCAGTGAAGGAATCCTCCTCCAGGTACGATTGTTCTTAAATCTGAGAGACAAACACTTAGTAGTGATAGGCTATACTGCAAAACTGTACAAGTATGTGTTGTCAGCAAGGAAATGTACCCTGCATACTGGCTCTCGGTCTAGCTGAGGTCTAGCTGAGGTCTCCTATATTGCTCTTACCAAAGTGCTTCCCCCTTTTTGACAAAGGTTCTCCTAGTTTTTCTTGGAGTTATGACCCATTGGCCCTAAATCGCAGAGATCATCAAAGAAAATGCCCTGTCTTTACTTAGATTTTGGTTTGTTTTTTAGACAATTCAGTGAAGAAATACAGTGAAACCTTCTGTGGACTGTTCCTTGAAAAATACTGTCCATATACATGTACTTATACTGTTGTGTTTAAATGCACCAGTGCTGTCTGAAGGATTTTGTATCGCTATAGGCCTTTCCCATGTGCGTGGTATAAATTGGTGTCATACTATTTGAGTGGTGCCTTTTTTTAAGTGAAACTTTATCCTGACATTATTAAGATCACACCGTATCTCGCACTGTATTAAAATCTAGCTAAGAAAGACGGCTTTTGTTCGGACCGTGCAGGTAACTTTTAGCAGAGCGTCTCCACTTGTGTCTGGGTATCCGAAGAACAGAGTCAGTGAAGTGAGGCCATGAGGCTGTCTCATATTCTGAAGGCAATGAATAGGCAATAGTCCCAGTAACCACTGGGCCAGCTGCCCAGCTGGCATCTCCCTTACAAAAAGAATTTGCCTGTTCTGATAGACAAGTGTGCAATAGCAGACCTGTCTTGTGTAGTGTTGTCTGTGTGCATCAAAGATCTCAACAGAAGTGAGATCATTCTAGCCCAGAGCATACTGTCCTCTGGTGGTACATATTGGAAGGTTTGTGTAAGGAGACCAAGTGTGAGTTTTCTTTCAGGCTCCCTCACAGCAACTCCTCCTGGTGCAGCACAGATGTCTCATCTTCTGCTTCAGTGTTTTACTACACTATATATGCTGACAGGCTATGTTTCTTCAGAACCTGTGAATCTGAATTGTTCATAGGTTAGTGCTAACATTACTTTTAGTTGCCCTTCAGATGTTTAGCTGTGACAAGGAACTACAGAGAGAGAGTCAAGTGAGAACTTTTTCAGTGATGGGAGGAAGTGTAGTTGCACAGAAAAAAAAATAGAGAAGAAAGAAATGAACAATTATGAAATAACACAACATAAGACAAGAAGACTTGTAAGAACATTAACAAGGGAAATTGTGAGGCAGGATGATTTAATCACTCAAGGGAAAGTGCTCTGGGACAAAACGATGTATAATTGGAGGTCGTTTGGCAGATTATTTCAGTCATTAGTGGCAATAAATTGAAGTGAGTTGTCGCTAAAAATGGCACCTACTCTTGGGAGATTCAATTTGATAAATTCTACATCTTAAATTGTGAGGCGGCACAGGTATGCTGAAATAAATTCCGAGGATGGGAAGTTGTTTTACTGACTGAAGGCCATCACCAGTTAATTGAAACCTCAGAAGCATTTGTCTAGTATGCAGACAGGACCAATCAATCAAAGTGATAAATCAATGGCAGGACAGTGTGTCCCCAGAGCAGCTGCAGATGCCGTTTTGTAAACATCATCATCATCATGGTCGGAGATCAAGAGTTCTGAACAAAAAACATATTGGCACAGTGTTCCACAAACACAGAAATTGTACTGTGGCAGGCTGTTTGTTTCAGAGTCTAAAACACAAGATTTCCAAATTCAGGAAAGCAGACAATGAAGGAATGAGACAGTGCAGTAGGATAGGATGTGAAATCAGTGGAGGATGGCGGAAGTTTAAACAGGTTCTTCAGATTCAAAGCACAAAACAGATTCATCCCAAGAATAAGCATATGCTAGAACATGTAGTTCAGGTGTGTAGCTGCATCAGCATGCGTAGGCTGCAAAGGAACAAGTAATAGGTTTATTCCATGCTGAAAAAAAGAAGAAAGAGAACACAACGTTTCGGCCGTGGAGCCTTGACACCGTGACACCTGAAGAAGGCTCCACGGCCGAAACGTTGTGTTCTCTTTCTTCTTTTTTTCAGCTTGGAATAAACCTATTACTTGTTCCTATGCTAGAACATGTTTAATAAATCAAAGAAGATATACAGAAAAGGAAAACCTTTTCTAAAATGATAAAAAGAAAAGGAATCAGTCCCCATATTTGGTGCATGTTTTTTGACAGTATTACTAAAACTAGCTGTACTAAAGACTCAAGCATCTCTGCTGGGATGAGAGATTTCCTGACCCTTTATTTAAGCCAGAGCAAGTAGAAGAGCTGGTTTATTTTTTAAAACTTAAAATGTCTTTTATTTGAAATCATATTCTGGAGATTCACAGGTGGAAGGTGTACTTTTCAGATGGTTCCTGGAGGTGCTGTGCTTCAACAGTAGTGGGTCTAACTCCAGATCAGAAGGTTATGTGTTCAAAGCACATCACGGGGTCAGTGTTTTCTATGTGAAAGTGTATTCGAAATTTAAAAACGGGAGGTGCTTCTTTATCCAACAGGTTTTGGGAGTATGAAACAGTCACTGAATGACCTCTCATTTTGAGCCTTTCTTCTTAATACGTGCTGTGGCACAGTGACCAGTAGGATCATAACAATCGGCAGGCGTATTTGTGAGATATCAAGCAATATTGAGATACCAAGCAATGTTGACTTACAATCTGAAAAAGGTTAAAAGAATCGAATTGTCTTGTATGAATGTTTAACAAGGATCAGTTTAAATAACCCTAGAGAATAAACCTATGGCTCAAGTAAGGACCATTATGTTCACTAAATAAAGGTAAGGTGACTGCAGGAGAAAGCGGAGAGAGACTGTCAGACATTGTTTCTTCAAAACCTGGATTTTGATTATGAGTAAGTCTAGGGTGGCACGGTGGTGTAGTGGACTGTATTGCTGCTTTGCAGCTCTGGTTCCCTAGATTCTACTCCCGGAGGGCTGTCTGCATGGAGTTTGTATGTTCTCCCTGTGTTTGTCTGGGCCTCCTCTCATTATCCAAAGACATGCTGGTGTGTTAATTGCAGAGGTCTTGCCAGTCCAAGGACCCCTACCTGGATAGAAGGACAAACAGGGGACTCCATGAGATTTTAACCTGTTATGTCACTGCATAGTATATTTTATAATTATTGATGTAAACACCCCATAATTATGCTATTTAGGGAGATGATTAAAACAATAATAAACCTGAAGGATTACAAAACACCTTGTAATCAGCACACATACCTCAGTGAGAGGACTGGCACACAGCTTTTCTATTCTTGTGGAGATGGAGGATAACAGACAGAACATCTAATCACCCTCTGGCTGCAGTCTTGAACCATATTTGTTTTTCAAGTAACCCAGGGCAGAAAATCCACATTCATACAAATATGTTGCTTCAAGAGGCCCTGAATTGCCTTTGTGCTCACTTGGGGAATCATCCCTCTGGTAACCAATCCAGAGGGCTGAGCAGGGTTTTTGATTGAGGAGCGATCCATTATCCCCTTAGCTGTTGTCTTTCTTGTTGCCACGCATAATATTGACCAGTGAATATGGCCAGTCGTTATTGGTTGAGTGCCCCAACCAAATGATACGGTACGTTGATTTGTTGATGCAGAAATGAAGATCAGGGAAGCCCTGTATGACAGAGTGGTGATTGCATGAATAAGCAAGTTCAGAGTTTGAGTTATAAAATAAAGTGTTTGTTCTTTTGTAACACATCTTTAAATGGATTATACTTTATATAGTTAATATTTTTTCCTTCCCTAAAAATTTAACTTGCAAAAGTATTTTTCTACAGACCTCCTTACAGACAACCCTTACAGGTTGAATTGGATTCTGGGGAAACGAATCTTGGTGTGAGTGTGTGTGTGTCTGTGTGTGCCCGGTGATGGACTGGTGTCCTGTCCAGGGTGTATCCTGCCTTGTGCCACTTGCTTGCCAAGATAGGCACAATTCCAAATAAAATGGATGTAATCTGTGAATTACCTGGAAGAAAAACAAATCTTTTGGAAAAGCTTAACACTACATGCTGCTTAAACTGTGTGCTTGAGAGTGTGTTTAAATTACAGCTTTGCCTTGCAGGCACCCTGTGATGAAGAAGTGGCCCAGAGGACAGGACTGGTTCTTCATGAAGATGCACATCGAGCAGGTGTGGCTCCAGAACTTGGTTGGAAGGGTTTCCTTCATACCGTTGGACGACTACTTCAAAGCAAGCCCAGACAAGCCCTGACAGTCTCACTCTCACGCAGAGCTTTACAGAACGTGGACTGAGATACAGGATGGGCTCATAGGCACCCATTCTCCTGAACGGCGTCCCCCATAAATAGGGAGACATTTGAACATTTGAGCTCCTGTTCAGAAGTCTAACAAAATTTGACAATCTGAGAGTAAACCAGGGCAGGGGGAGGGGCAAATTGCATGTACTAAGGTGTCAGCATTTGTTTTAAAGTGTGCCTGCAGAAACAATAAAGCTCTCTATGTATTTTTTCTTCTTGAAAACATGTTAATTTTGAGGTCTTACGCTAAAAAGACAGAGAAACTGAGATTAATTTTTGTGAGTGGTTTGTGTTGGCACCAGAAGCCCTTAATAAACTAAGAGCCTTTATTCTGTTGAGGTGGTGTTAAATTTTTGTTAATCTATTATTATT